TTTTTATAATTATTACAATATATTTTTATATAATATATTAAAATATTATATTTGTTAATAAATAATTAATACTTAAACTAAATATTAATATATTTACAAAATAGTAACTAAAGTAATATTTAATTTTTAGACAAGTATTAATTAATACTAGAAATATCAAAATATTGAATGAGTTTTTTAATAAGTTTAATAATATGATTCATTTTTTTAAAAGATAAATATAATAAAGTGCTGTAATATAAGTATTAATAATTATAGTTATATTTGCAAGAGACTTTATTAAGAATAGTGTAAGTAGTAGAATAAATAATAAAGTATTAAATTTTATACTAAATTGTTTTAATGCTTTTATAAGTTTTATTAGGGCGATCCTATTCATACCCCCCATTATTGCTATTCATATCTTCTACCCATGTAAAAAAAAATTTTTTACAATATAACATGATCGATTTCTATATTAGCCAATCAAACTTATAATTTTATAAAATTTTTGAAAACGTGACATTTGTATCAAGTTGAATCAAACCTAACTGTATATGTAGGTAATGTACAAAGAATTTCAAGCACATCTCAAGCATAAACCTAAGCTGCAACTAAGAAATTTATAGTCTTATAAAGCCAAGATCCTAACTTTTTTATAAATTTAAGAACGAAGTTATTCTTAAAAAATATACTTTTTATCAATATTTGAAACGTTCATCAGTATTTTTCAAAAATTAATTACTAACCAATCTTAGCAAATGCAAATTATTATATAAAACACAATAATATTCATTATACTTTATTAGAATTAAGTCTCAAGGTCTAATGTAACCTCTAGAGTCTGTTTAAAAAGATCACAGTATTCTAGTTACACTCAATTCTGGATATAATGAACTTTTATATAATGAGTACTGAATATAAAGAATTCAAAATTTTCAAATTTCATAATAGTTCAGCATACAAGGTGCATATAGTTTTTTAATACAATACTCATGTGCTTCATCCTATGTCTTACATTACAGTACATTTGCGAAATTAAGCAAACAATTTGTCACCAAATCCAAGTATTTGGTTTTCTAAATTAAATTTTAGTTACCGAATTGTATATTAATTAATCAATGTTAAACCCTGAAAAAATTTTTTGAATCTTTGATCTGTACTGATAACACATCTAACCCATCTTTTCTACAAACTAACTCATCTTTCTACTCTCTAATGCATCCTATTAGACATAAGAATTTATTAAATAATGCATTATTACTTGGAAAATGTTGATTATCTCAGTTAAAATCTATATTTACATATTAGTTGTCAAAATTTTCAAATTTTGGGATATTTCACAAATGTACTGTAATGAGTTGCATTTATGTTGTTAGACAATTTTATATAACTAATTCTCTTTATAGCTATGTGATTCCTGATCTAGTTATAATATGTTTATAAGAACATAAATAGATATGTAATGGGTGATTTTTTGTTGAGATATTTCTTTAGAGAAATAGATATTTGAACTGCTGTAATGGATAATGGATGGAATTCACTATAGCACAATAATGTCAAATCAATTTATTTTATTTAATTATAATAACCTGTATAAGAAAAAGTGAATTAAGATTCATACTAAATCTAAAGGTGAATTTAGCCACTTATTTGAAATAATTGACTATTATACAGTATATCTAACATATTATTGCTAATTAACAAATTAACTTTTATTTGAATAAGTTCTGGCATAATGTTCAGGTTGCTTGTAAAGAGTACACTGTTGCACTCTATCTTCTACCAACTCAAATCCAGAAGGATCCCTTCTAGTTGAATTATTTGTTCAGTAATTAGAAGCACCAGGAGGCCTTTCTTTTGTATGAGATACTTGAGGATTTTGTAAACCTATTAAGAAAGCATCAATCATATTTTTCAATGTTTCCTGTGTGGCTGCTTGTTGGTGTTCTGGCCATTCTTTATATTTTTTTTAAAATTTTGTAGGAGGGGTTATAATTCATGAACATTGGAATTAACAAATAATATTGGTGAATAATATTGGATCTACCAATGTTCATGAATATCATCAAGTGTTAGACTTTGATTATCTTCTAGAAGTTGGATTTTATGAGCACAAGGTAATCCCATCATGCTTGAGAAAGATCCAGTACAAGGTGGTAAGGGTTCTTGTATAGTTGCACACTTTATTCTTTGATATTGTTCATTTACTTTTTTAAAGCAAAGTTAAAAACTTTGCCCTTAATATCAGCATATAAATTACTTTGTGCAAAAGTTGGAAATTGAATTTTTTCAAATGAGACCTTAGTATTTATTTCTTTTTTTTAATTTTCTACTGCTAGAGAAATTTTTATACAAACAGAATGAAGATCACTCGCAGATGTATGTAAATATGTTTTAATAGTTGCATGTGCATTTTCAATTCGAGAAGTAACAGTTGTCTTCAAATGAAGAAATCTATTAGCAATGTTACAAAATGAAAGTTGAAAAAGTTGATTAGTTTGTTAGTTGACAACTAATTAATTGAACTATTTAAACACCAACTAATCAATTAGTTAAAACTAATTAACCAAAAAATTAATTAATTAGTTTTAATTAGTTGCAACTATACTTGTTACCTAAAACCCAAAAGCTTTCTGAAATGTTAATAATTAATGCATATTTACTATAAAGTAACCAAAATGTTCCTGAAATGCAATCCAATTATCTATACTTTAAGTCTTAAAGTTTAAAATTAAATTTCTAAGCCTTTCAGTATAGTGTTAGAGTTTTGGAAAAGGTTTTGGTTTTGGGATTTTATATATAGTTTCAGGTTTCGAATAACAACTATAGTTGCAACCCGTTGATTAATTAATTAGTTTCACTTAATTGAAAAATAATTAACCAATTGACTGAAAAAATTTTAATGATTTTTGTTTTACTACCTATTAGTTCATGCTTTTACAAAATTTTCTTTCCAAGATATTCAAGTTTCCTCAAGATAACTAATGATATGAGGTTTATCTCTATAAGTATTATAAAATTCCAACCATTTTATATTGAATTCTTTCACTGTTAGAGACTGAACAACCTTGTTCCATTCTGAAAAAAAAACTTGCCAGTCATTACTCAAGAATTGTGGTTTACAATCTTTCATTATATTTTTATTAATATGCTATAGCTATAATAAATTTGTTGAACTTGGAAAGATTGTCCTAAGAGCACTTATAAGAGCTAGCTCTCTATCTGTTACTATGATACTAGGTTTTGGTACTCCATTAAACAATCGAGAAACGTGACTCAAAGCCTATAAATAATCTTCTTCCTTTTCGTCTTTTATAAAGATAAAACACGAAAAAAAAGTAGTATTAAAACAAGTCATACCAACAACATTCAACAAAGGCATTTTAAACTTGTTGGTCTTATAGGTACAATTTACTAGAAGAATGGAAAAATAATAACAGGTAAGCATAATGGATTCATTATGCACAAAGAAAAGATGAGTGATATAACCAACATTATCACATTTGTATTCATACATATAATTACTCTCTCTAAGCTTATTTATTAATGCTTCAACTGGAGTACAATCTTTCAAACTTTGTTTACAAAAATGATCATATGCATTATAAATGTTTTTATTTATTACTAATGACAATAGGTTATTTTGACAAATGGTTGATATAATTTCCCAAGGGCATGAACCAGAGGCAGTCATTTCAAAAATGTTTATTAATTGCTGTTCTGTGAGTTGATGGCATATTGGATGTCCTAATAAATCTTCTGAGAGATCATAGTTATGGGTTCTATTACGAACTTCTATATACTATAAGTTAGCATGCCGAACAGCATATAACTCAAAAGGGCAGTTAATCAACCAGGTACTTGTTTGTCTTTGATGCATTTCTGAGCTACTATAAATTCTACCACAGTTACAGCACAATGTTATATTTTTCACGTTGTTATATTTATCCTTATGTGTTCTTTTTTCACTAATATGTAACCATGAAAATTGGCAAACATTTGGGCACTTTGAAATAGGTCATAAGCATTTTCATATATCACGGATGGTGGTGGTTGCATTTTTGAAATTAAAGAATTTCTTAAAGAATTATCATTATAAGAAGGACATACAATATAATTTATATTTTATACATCTTTACATAATGCTTTACTTTTTACATTACTAATTGATACGTAACTGATTAATGTATTGCTAAATATGTTATTATAATTATGATTGAATGATACACTATTTCACTATCATTTTGTAGCTAAGAATAAACTATGATATAGACTATGATCCAATATATTTTGATAACTCAATTGAAGATTAAATATAATAAATTTGTTTGTAATGCTATTTTCACATATTTTATATTTTAATATAGACCTTGTGCATGAAATGATTCATTTGAGTGTAAGGTTATAATGTAAAACATTACTGTAGTTACCAACCTCAAATAAAAATTACAAGCTATTATTATAAGATTTACTCCATCAGTTAATGACTTCAAAGTAATCAGAAAATTGAAATTTATAATATAAAATGTCATAATAGCAAAATTTCTCATTGCATATGTGATACAGATTTATTTTTTATGTTAAACTCAGCATGAACTGATTTAACCTTATAAAAACCTCTACATGTAACACTCATTGTAATATAATACAGTCAAACCTGTCTAAATGAATATAGTCGGTGGACCAATTCTGTATTCATGCTATGCCAACAGAAATGACTACCTTTTCTACTTTATTTTTAAAAATTGGTTTTTATTTTTTTGTGGACTGAAGTTTCTAATGATTTCTTTTATATAATATTTGAAATAGATGCTTAAAAGGTATTTTTGTTTCCTATAATAGAGTACTTAAGATATGATATTTGCTTTTGCATATTCATTATGCATCATTCTATTGCAAATATGTTTATGATGACCAAATCAGTAACTTCGGCTGTTTATCGAGTAATTTGAGGCTTATTAGTAAAAAGTTGGTATTTAATTTAAAATTAATTATGAAATCAAAGTTACTATTAGTTTCCTAATAAGGTATAAAAAAAATATAATGAAAATCTAAAAAGCCAGCACTGAAGTAGTTGGGTCAATTTTACTTTATATATTAAAAATAGCAGTTATTATTAAAAGGATAGGATTGAGACAAGAATTTAGATCTAAATCAGATAACTGCTACAAAATTGTCCTAGCAGATTTTCAAAATTTTACAAATGATATCACAGCCATTAATTAAGTAAAAATTGTTGCTAGGTTAATTTTACTATTATGCAGGACCTATTTCTTTAAAGAATGCAATTTATGCAATATATAGATTAATTAGTAAATGCACCTTGCTTTAATTGACCTTTATTTTTGGAATAAAAAAGTTAAAAAGTAAACACTTAAGTAATGCAGAGGTATGTCTAAAGCAAAGGTAAATCACATGATTTACAGCCAATCAAATTATAGAATTTTGGTGATTACTGATAAAGTAAAACAAGAAATAAAAATGAAAAACCTAAAAAATACAAAAAATGGTAGTCTAAACATGCCTTGGGTAGGTTAATTTAAAATGTCAAGAAGGCAATGTTGCATATATATGACTACTTAAAACCTAAACTAACCCTGATATAGGTGACACTAACCCTAAAGTTAATCAAAAACTTTATTAAATATAAGTTGCTTCTACTTTAGACATCCCCTAATGTGGACCAAAATTTTGCAGATCCACAGCAATTAGCTAATCAAAATCAAGGAACTGTCATGACAATTCTGTTGCAACAGTTATGGTTAATTAGAGAAATGGTTGATTTTAATACACAGGATAGGCATTACTATTCATACCCTTTATTTTTGCTATAGGTACCCTTTTTTTATAAATATTATATGATTTTACACTATTGTGCATTATACTTTTAGTCATAAATTATTCAATATATAGATTCTGTTTAATGTTATACAATTAGATTATTTAAAAACTGGTTAAACTAATTTTTTTTACATGAGTAGGGGGTATGAATAGCAATTTCCTTTTATTATTAATAAAAGTTTTGTGTAATAAGAGTTGTTAAGATAGAGTATTTGTAAAGAAGTTTCAGTTCTTTATAGATATAATTTTGTAATTAAAGTAATTAATGCCAATATGCTTATATAAGAGTTTGTTATAACATATATAAATATTCAAACAAAAAAAGTATTAGGTGGTCACTAGAAGTAGAGGTTTGACTGTTATAAAGATTGTAAGAGAAAAGAAATTATATATTAAATTAGTTAGTTCATATATAGTCAATATACTACTACTAGCATTGTTAAATTATATAAAGTAATTGTTATTAAAATAAGCTTTAATATTATACATATTAGCATTGTTAAGAAAATTAGTAAGTTTATATTTAGAAGAAAAGCTGTGAATGTTATTCTATATATTAAATTTACTAAGAATAATCAGATAAATATGAAGTTAAAGAGCTTGTCAGATTTAGTTAATTACTAGATTTTAAGTTTGGTTATAAATAAAAGTATCTGTTAATACCAGATATTCTGAGATGAGACAAAGCTTAATATTATTTTTTAAAAAATATCAAGTATTATAATATTTTCAGAATGAGTGTAAATACTATAAATATAAAATTTAATATAATTATAAATTATGCTTTTAATAGAAGTAGAAGAATAAGACTAGTAATAAGCAAAAAAGTTATTATTGCAAAAACAAAATTAGTTTTGTTGAGATTCTGATTTTTGTAATACTTGTAATAAATGTGTTATAATTAAAACAATAATTTTAGTAAGCTTTTCTTTTAATAAATTTGTTAAAGCCTTTAACATTGTATATAACAATAATTAGATAAAGTTAATATAAAGTTGAATTAAATAAAAATAAAAAAGAGCTATAGTCAGAAAGGGTTAAGAATTATTGTCAAGAAATAAATTATATAGAATAAAAGTAGGAATAAAAGAATTAGATTTGAAAAGAAGATTATAGAATATAAAAAGAAAATATAAATGAATAACAATGTAATCAGATAAAAGAGTATTATTAAAAAGATATATATGAGTTTTATAATAAAGGGGGTTGGGCCCTATAGCTTAATGGTAAAGCTGCTAACCCCCCACAGACTAGGTCAATGGTTCAAGTCAGGCTGAAGGCAAAATCTTAGGATTTTAACTCTGTAACCTAAAATAGGAGCCAAATTGGATACGGAGCCCTGTGGAAAAAGTCCCAAGATGAATTACTAGGATGGATTAGGAATTCCCGGAAGGAGACCGACTCTGCAGAGAGAAGGCACTATGTGTGACAGCGGTGTCACAGAAGGTTCGGCTACACAATGGTATTGCGCAAGTA